ATTTAGAAAACCTACTCACACAGGGGTTGTTATTGATAATTTATCCAATCACCCAGTTACACATAAGTTAGCAGCTTTTAATTGTTACTTGGAACGTCTTCTGAAAGTACCACTATCAGTAGATAACTTTAATAAAGAACTCAATGTTATCAAACAAATTGCTAATAGTCACAATTATGATCAGAACTTAATAGATAAAATGCTTCATAGAAAACAGAATAAACGTTATCAGAACAATAGGTACATAATTGACCCCTTCCCAATATTGAAGCAGATAATCGTAAGTATGTTTCACTTACTTTTATTGGAAAATTCTCATATCGTATAGCCAACTTGTTCAAAGATTCCTTCAGAATTAGCTTTAGAACGTCCAACTCGATCAGTAGCCTATTTGTTAGGAATAAGGATAAGATTGATCCTATGGATCAGTCTGGTGTTTACAAACTAACTTGTTTGAACTGTCCATGCTCATATGTGGGAAGGACCTTTCGTAATTTTAAAATACGCCTGAAAGAGCACACACGCTGTCTTAACACTAACACTACTGGTTTTTCTCACTTTGCTGCTCATTTGTTAGACACTGGTCACGATTTTGATTCTAGCATTGGCTTCGACATTTTGCATATGACTTCTAATAAATTCCTTCTGAATAACTTTGAGAACCTGGAAATTTAAAAAAATATTAAATCTGGCCCCTCCTGCTCTCTGAATGCACAAATTCAATTTATTAGTACCCCAACGTTCTCTGCGCTTATTTAAATTAATTTCAGACTTATACCCCCACTCATTTGATCTTCAATCAGTTACTTACCACAAATTAATTAACTCTCCCAATTTAGATTCTCTTCTGTTTCCATTAATTTTTTGCCCACTCGCATCTTATTAAATGTTTTATTAGTTTATTCAAATTCTCCCACGTGGTTGTCATACGCCAAAATTTGACCTTCCCCCTTTTTTGACATTCGTACTTGTCAACTTAGTTTCCGTTTCCTGTAACAGTAATTTTTCTTTTGATTATCTGCTTCAAATTTCCCTTTTACATATGAATTTTCATATTTTCTTGTTCAGTGTTCTAATTTTCTTGTTAGTATTTTTTGCTTTCTCATTTCCCAGTTTAATATTTTTACTTTCAATAAATTTTGTCACCGCCCCCTATACTCACTTTCAGTAAATAACACCTTTGTTAGTACACTATTTATCCGCTAAATCTAAAATTTACAGTTTACTACATTGATTCGTTAAAAAATCGAGATAGATGTCTTGAGAGTCTGATAATTTTTACTTTTTACTTTTATTAATTGACGTTAAAAATTGACGTTAAAAATTTTTTAAACTGTTTGTGCTTGTAAAAACTATTTTGTGTTGTTTAGTTAATAATAGTCTTACATGTGTTTTAATTAACCTAACCTACAATATTTTTAAAAAATACTATTGTATTACATATGACTTTTTTAACTCGTTTTGTTAAACTTTTAGTAGCGCTTCCTTTATGGAAATAGTCAAGGTGAGTCAAGGTTATTGTTTAACTTCTTTTGTGTTTTTTCTGTTATTTTGTTTTTGTTTTTGTTTTTTATTACAACTGACTTCTTGACATTCCATTTAGGTGTGCCTGATGATGAAGTGACAGCTTCGAAACCGGTCGCCAATTAAATTGACTTGTGAGAAATAAAGGACCTTTTCTTTAACCCTTACACTTAAGCAATACTTTAACTCCATGTTCTTTTGCTATTTCATCTACACCATACTTCTTAAATTTTGATGAATATTGTTTACATAGCTGCAATAGCTCTTTTCTGAGTAATCCATCTTCTGCCACTATTTCTTTGGTTATTAGCAATCGGAGAGTTCTTGCTTATTCAATTTAGTGTTAGGTAACGGTAACGGTTCCTTTAATCTTGAATAGTAACTGGCATTGTCCATAATTATTACAGAATTGGTCGGTAATAAATCTATCATCTAACTGAAATAATCTTTAAAAGCACCTGCAGTTAATTCTTCATGGCAGTATTTTGCAGAATTTGAAACAAATCCTTTATCTGCTCCAATATGAATGATAATTAAACGGCGACCATTTGGAAATTTTAAACCAGCAGACAAACCTTCTATAAATGCCTGTTTATCTTGCCAAACTTTTTTTTTTACAAAATGTGCTTCATTTATCCATGTTTCATCCAAATAAATATGTATGTCTTCTCTTTTTAATTTTCTAATTTCCCTTAAATATTGCCTTCTCCACAAAATAATTTCATCTTTCTCTATGAGCGCAGATTTTCTATCGTTCTTCTCCCAGACGAAGTCTAATTCATGTAAAGTTTTCCACAATTTGTTTCATTTAACTTTTGGCAAAGTTTCGTCTCCATTAATGTCTACTAAAAATTTATCCAAAATGGGTATATTTTTTTGTAAATAAAACGAATGCACTTTTCTTCGTATCAGTTGTTTTCTAGTACCGTCTCTTTAAATGGGTTTTCTCCCAGTTGACGTTTTAGGTGCTACTGTAATCCTTTCGTTGCTTCAAAAGTCTATAAATGGTTGATTCTCAAACTCCGGTCATATTTGAACACTTAGAAACTATACTCCGAACAGTTTAGAAACTTTACTTCGGATAGTACTATTAAAATGTTCATGTACAAGAGCGTCATGAACTTTTAACACTAAAGTTTTCATATGCACGGCTAAAATGCACTTTGTGACAGGCTTCTGGTTCATCTACAGTGAATCAGAGAGTCTGTGTGGTGCTAAGATGGTGATTCCCGAATAGGGGTTGCTCAGGCGCCAGTTTTGGTATCACAGTTTGCTCTGCGACCCTGTAGCATACCAGAGGGTACTCAAGGTAAACTCAGTGGAGTTAAAAATATTTCCAGGCGGTCACTGCTAACTAGGTAGCCACTAAACTAGAATAAATAAAAATAAAACACTTATCTCCTTTATACCTCGTACCCTACGGTATCCTGAAAGAGAACGGTTAGGAACCAGCAATAAGAGAAACGCAGGAATAGATAATTAAATACATATTTACAGAAAAAAATACATCGGTGGTAGTGCACGGTTTTAGCACGGCTGTAAACGAAAAATTAAATAAAATAAATGATTACAATTAAATGAGATTACAGGAATGTAATTACGGCTCCCTATATACAGAAAAATAATTAAAAATAAATTATTATAATTGAAACACTATAGGGAGGTTAAATAAAATAAACTATTACAATTGAAGCTAGTCAAATAATTATGGTTCCCCATATATGGAAAATTTATTAAAAATAAATTATTACAATTGAAAACGAGTTAAATATTCATGGTTCCCTGTATACGGAAAATTGATTAAAACAAATTATTAGAATTGAAAATTAGTTAAATATTCATGGCTCCCTGTATACGGAAAATTGATTAAAAAAGAAAATTATTACAATTATTAAATATTTATGGTTCCCTGTATTCGGAAAATTTATTAAAAATAAATTATTACAATTGAAAACTAGTTAAATATTTATGGTTCCCTGTATTCGGAAAATTTATTAAAAATAAATTATTACAGTTGAAAACTAAAAACAAAACTCTAGAGAAATAATTGCGGTTCAATAGCACAGGATGCTAATCGGTCCGGGAATTATGAAACTCCCTGTATACGGTAAATTAATTTTTAAAATAAATTAATTATATATTATGACAGTAATAAAATGTAAGAAAATAAATTAAATCAAAGTTTTAGGAACGCCCCTGTATCTTAGTTCCGACCGGTCGACGCTAACAATTTTTTTTGAACGAGAATGATATGATTTACGGTGATGTTTGGATAACGAAGGCGATGGTTATAGAAAATATTATTTTGAGATTTGCCAAAGCCAATTAAAACGGTGTGTGAATTAATTATGATAGAAAACGTCGGGCTTCGTTCAATAATTAGTTGTCGACGAGAAACGGAATGATTCAAATATAATTGAATGAATAAATAAAAGAAAAAGAAACTTACATGAAAAATATTGGGCGCTTCTTAAAAGAGATTGGATATAGTCGTCGAAATTGAGAGCACTCATAGTCTAGCCTATATCCAGCCTCAAATAAAACATTGCCAACGGTTTCCCACTAAGGGATGAAATGAAAAATGCTAAGCATGAATCAAAATTTTTTCACTTGTCGGACGGGTGTCCCAAACTAATTGTAAATAAAAAAAATAATATGCGGTTATTCAGTAGTCTAACAATATCACGGTCACTATATAACTGAGTTCGTAACTAGTCGGCGAAGAAGAGAGAAGAGCTTACGGTGGCTGGCAATCAAAAGAGGACAATTATCAGTTGTAATCGAATTTATGCTTTTTCCCTGGGCAAGCTTGAAGACCGGTAAGCCAGAGTGGGAGATACCATCACTACAGCCGATTGCCGATTAGAAATTTTAATCCTTTCCAAAAAAGTTGAGGCCTACTTAAATTGATCTTAAATTGTAAATGTTTTCTACCTGTAGAGATTGCATACTTACCTTATTTTTGTTGATTAAAATTACTAGAAAATTTAAGACAAGAATTAAAATAAATTGGTATTTTTAAAAATAAAAAGAAACCCAAAGATTTTATTTTGAAACAAATAATGCTAAACATTTTATTTTAGAAATTCTTCGTTACTGATTTATGATGTTATATTGGGGTTTATCTCCTGGGTCATAAAATTTTTGCTATCGCTCATTTTCAAATAAACTGTAGTTGGCTACAGGGAAGGGGGAGATAAACAATATATACTATGTCCAGGTGGTGGGAGTTGTCGTGTAATCCGTCAAATTCAAAATAATTAATGGATTTTTCGTTTTTTGCTGGCAATGAAATAATTTGCTCATAACAATAAAAAAATACCTTTGGAAGCATTTTCTGTCATCCGGTTTTACTACTTCCGATGTAAGGAAATCCCTACACTTACACCAAAAATGATGATGATTTATTGATATTTAAAAATTGCCAATATGAATATATATAAATATATTTACTTATTTTTTAATTATTTGTTTTAGTGTATTTTATCTTAATTATATTGATGGGATCCTCGATATTATGAATACCCCACAATTCCCCACATTTCGGTATCCAGACTGTGACCCAGACACCTTCATCATAAGTTAGCATATATGTCTTGATATTATCATCAGTTTATCTAACAATAACTCATCAACACAATTTTCAACTACGTATATTGGTTTCAGAATCAACTTCACATCCTACAAAATAAACCATGGGAGGTTCTTCTGTCCCCGACATCAGGCATAGCGGCCACTTCTTGGAATTCCTTCTAAAAAACAACAACGATTACCATCAGGCTTACCACGACATTACCACCACCATCTCACCGGCGTTATTTGGAATACCAGATGATGCCAACCATAGCATATGGAGAACGGGTGATGGTAATGGTTCCAGACCGCTTAAAAGAGAGTTGAACTCTTTCTATTTTTACAAGGTCAGTATATTATTGTACATGTGTTATGCTATGGCACGGGCAGTACAAAATCCGAACCTCAGTCCAATTGAACAAAAAATGAAAACGTCAATATTCAAAATCAAATGTTTCTGCGATTAATGCGTCGTGTTTTTCGCTTTTTATTTATAGTTGGATAAAGGGGAGGGAGGTAAACAACATTTATTATATCCCGTAAGTGTAATTCAAAGTAAAGTTGCTTATCGGTGATTTTTTCCTTTTATGCCGACAACGAAATATATAATAATTCTATTCGCTCCGTGCGCGACAGCAGCGCCAATTTGTTTTGGTATTAAAGGAGTATTTCTGCCTATACTGACAAATACAATTTTTAATAGAATTCGTAAATTAAAAGTATATATGTTAGTTTTAATAAAAGTATATGGATTTATAAAACAATTAAAACATTAATTTATTATTATTATATATTTTTCACGCTTAAATTGAAGAAAATTATGTATAATCATTAAAAATCAATAATAAAATATAGGCAGGCAACAGTATTTACTGGAAAATGTATGAGAAGTTGCCTAAGTCTAATAAGTTGTCATTGAAGAAACCATTTATAATAGCGTGAAGTTAAAATGTATAAAAAGGATCGCTACTTATATTTTCATTTTTGTTCTAAAGAAAACATAGAATGAATGATTAAAACTGGTTTCCGATCAGTAAGTCACAAAATTGCATACCAGCCAAATATTATAATCAACGGCAGAAATCTTGAAATCTAGTCCTTGCTGAATGAACATTTAAGAATAAAGGGATATTAAAGAACATCGTAAAATGATAATTTATTGTTTATTTAAAAACTTTCTAGTTTCTGATGTCTACTATTTCCAGCATTACTGTTATTATCACAAAAATAAAGGTAATTTTTCTTCTTATTGTACACCTATCCATTTATTTCTTTGATTTAATTTCCACTTTGTTAGTGAAATTTGTTATATATGTTTCACTGTTTTTTTTTTGCTAGTATTTGTACAATTTTCAACACAGCAACTCCGGTTGCTTATTGTGTTGTTTTTACCTACTTTTTTGAAAAAAAGTAAAATGTATACGTGTATTTGATATGCCAAAATTACAAAATATCCCCCTAAAATGCACGAATTATCCGCAGCTAGCGCTAGTATCGCTTTTGCTTCCCTTTCCATGACTTCGCACGGAGCGAATACGTCAAAAATAAAAAAAAAATTTTGCAAGCATTTTCTATCGTCTAGTTTTACTACTTCCGGTGTAGGAATTTTGGTCACGAATATTGCCATCCTCGTCAAAGCACTCTTAGAATAGTTAGGTACATTTTATTATTGGCATGATATAGATACGCTGTCTGTATATACTAAATTTGTGGATTATTTATTTTTATTATTTTGCAGTAACAATTTTGTCGGTCACATATATTATTGTAGTGTTTACTTCATTTTAAAAATTAAAAAAGGAAAATTTAAACATATGGTAATCAGCATACCACTCATCGTAAAAATAACATATTTAGGTCGTCGGACTGTAAAACCGTTGCTAGGCAAGTTAGTTAAATCTGACACTCAGGTAATTATTTTGCTAAATACTTATTGATTGGCACATTTAAAAATAAAATAATTTTTTATGCTTAGAATATGTCCGACACTTAACTTAATGTATCCCACCAGAATTGCAAATACTTGCAGAATAAGCCACTGTAACAACCGGGATGCCTAAAGAACACCACTTGTCACTAAATGTAACAACCAACTAGCCTAATTATTTTTCAATTATTTTTAAAACCCTTGATGTAAATAATTTACAAAATTTACAATATATATGGTAACCTTACACTTGCTTCACTGCACATGTTGCGTCTCCTTTGATCTTCTTGGTTGGTCTGCCGTAACTACTCTTTGGTCTCTGGCTGTCACATCTCATCATACTCTGATCTTCACCTTCCTGGAACGGTCCCTTCCCGATCTGGTTTGGTCATTGGGCTGCTGAACCTGGTAACCCTTTTGGCTGAGGTTACGGGTTCTTTCTGCTGCGGTAGTTTATCCATTTTCCAATAGACTCTGGCTTTGGACCCTCTGGTTGACTATTGCTTTGGACTGCTTCTTTCGCTTGCTACGGTGAGACTGCTACTGTACATGTCTGCTGTACACGGCTGCTGTACACGGCTACTACTGGTAAGTCCTCATTGACTGACTACTGGGAATGGCCTCTTTCTTTGAACCTCAGTCCATTCCATATAAATTATCTTTGGTTCCCTTTTTTCTTATTTGGATTCAAATTCTTCCTGTTGTGGATTTGGCTCTCACACACTCAAAATGAATCCAACATCATGTCAAGCTCCCTTGGCGATATGCTTCATGCCCTCTGAGAGCTTGGTGGCACTGTTTGTCCCTTGCTTTTGGATTTGGATGTAGCATTCTCTTTATAGCCTTGGAGTGCTGGAATTCGGCCCATTCTCTAACATAGATCGTGGAATTGTGGGATGCCTTGGTACGGTCCTGGATTTGAGTAACTATCACGATTTAGACTTCGTAATTGTCCTGGAAACGGTGCTGATGGTGACTTTGGTAAAGGTAGTACGGTGTTGACCTCTTCTTTTCCTTCTTTTTTTCTTTTTTTCTTTTTTTTTTCTTCTTGTGCAGTGGAAACTTCTTTTGATTACCCTATGACAAAAATATTATGTACATTTCAGGTTTTCCAGAAAAAAAAAACAAATATTTTATACAAATTTCCTGAATTACCCCCAAAGGCACATTTACAGTTACAAATATGTTTTATATTATACCAAAATTATTTACTATTAATGAACTAGAAAACATTATTTGTTTTTAAATTTCTATCTCACAATTATTTTACCGCTGATCTCTTGAGATCCGTTGACCTCTTCGTGTTCAAGATTCGCTGGTCTTAAGATCGGTCGATCTTTTCGTTTAAGAAATTTGTTAATCTCTTATCGTGTTAAAGATCTGTCGATCCTTTTCTTTTAGAGATCCGTTGATCTCTTCGTGTTCAAGATCCGTCGATCTTTTCGTCTTAGAGATCCGTTGATCTATTTGTTTTAAAGATCTCTTGATCTTTTCGTTTTACAGATCCGTTGATCTCTTCGTGTTAAAGATCCGTTCTTTTCATCTTAAAGATCCGTTGATCTCTTCGTTTTAAAGATCTTAATTGAAAATTAATCTATAAACATTTGCAATTAAAAATAACATTTAAATGGTTACGTAAATAATCATAAGATACTTCTTAAAACTTTTTTCTTTTTTTTTTGTTATAACAGGAACTTAAAATATCTGTTAATCGTATTTCGTAAAAACTTATTCATCATCTTGGGTGATAAGCCATCGTTTAATGTTGTCAGCAGCGACAACCGTACGTGATACTTTCTGAAGGCCCCGTAGGTCTTCAACTTCATACCTTTCGTTAATTAGGACTTTTACCACTCGGAAAGGTCCCTTGAACTTTGGAAGAAGTTTGTGGCTTCCCCCCGTAGCTGGATCGCTCGTAATTCTGACCATAACAAGATCATCTTCGTTATACTTGGTAGCTTCTCGTCTGGTTTTGTCATATCGTTCTTTTTGCTTTTTCTGGTCTTCAGTAATGTGTTTGTGAATTTTGTTACGTAGTTCTTTTAAATTAAATCTGTTAAAATCATCTTTAATTTCGTTAAGAATTTGTAAATCTGCAGCGCATTTCGTATTGTATCCTACTAGAGCTTCCATTGGCGTCGTATTAATGGATTTTGTTATGGACCGTATTAATAATTGCACTTTGCACTTGCTTTTCGTAACATTCTCACTCGCTACTTTCGTACAAGATAATTCATAATTATTCTATTGTATCATTCGCATTTTATGTTTGCATATTATGAAGTCGCTACCCCGATTAAAATGTCTTTTATACCGTAACACTGGCAAAAGTCTGTTTTTGACATACACTTAAATCCACGATCGTTTGGTACACCAAACAAATACATGAAATATTTTAAAATATGAATGACGTATTTTGCCTTTTGACTCTCTACAAGCTCTATTTCACAAAACTTCGTAAAAGGCATCCACAATAACTTGCATTCTGGCTAACTTTGAAGCCCCTTATCTAATTTGCGGCAAATTGTATTATTTTTAAGTTTATATTCTTTTGTCATATTTCGTGATTAAAATATTTATTTTTCGAAAATTTTCTTATTGTGGTCCTACTATCCATACACACTCTGTAATATCTATGGAATACTTACATTTCAATCTCATTTATGCTCAATGCATTATTTGCGTACTCCTGTACTCTATTTCAAATGTAAATCTCTTGGATTTTTAACGTCCAATCCTTGGTAGAAGATTCTTTTTAGTAAGGGTCGTCATTAATGCGTTATAGTCAATAATCACTTCAAAGTATACCTTTACACAGTAAGTACTTTCTAAATTATCGTAAATCAAATACAACTTCCATGGTTTGTAACTCGTATTTATGATATTGTCTTTGATTGTTCGTTGTTTGCTTACTGAAATACGATATTTCATTTTAAAGATTCGTCAATCTTTTTTTCGTTTTAGAGATGCGTTGATCTCACCGTCTTAAAGATTCACCGATCTTTTTATACGTATTTTCTTGTAAACATCACAAAGAAAATTACATACAATCTTAAAATTCGTTAACTACTTCTAGGTAGGTACTTCAATTTATTGTTCTCGTCAATAGGTTCAAAAAATGTAATTTGCAGTATTTTTTTTACGTAAAAAAAATGTCATTAACATTAATGGAAATATCGTTTAAAATAGACATGATTATCTTTCTTGGTAATTAAAATATGTTATTTTTATATAACATAGCTTTCATTCAATAATTATTTCTAAGACAAATATTTATCATCGACAATTATCCCATTGAGAATTTCTATATTTCTATTGCAGAAAAGAGTGTTTACTACTACTACCATCTTTCATATAATGTACGATGTACGATGCTACTACATCTTATGTTAAAAAATATAGGTCGAGTTCAGATGGATT